ACCGGGCGCCCATAGACCTGAGTGATTTCAAGTATTTCGAAGGGGTGTTTGGGTCTTGAGTCCAGTTCAGTCCGGGCTAAAATTGGCCAGACATGACTGATCAAAGGGTTTTTGGGGCTAGATATGCCTCAAATATGCCTCAAAAAGTCACGATGGATGCTGACCAGAAGAGTAGCCGCCCTGCAGTCCCAAGTTTGTTGAGGAACTTCAGCCTCGACTCCAAAAAATGAACTTCCTACTTGTAGGAGGTCCTCGGTCTGCGGTCCTCTTCTGGTGACCTTGGGATCGATATCTTACAAGAATTGTTGGGACTTTGTGTCGGAAGATGAATGAATTGGACCACCAAAAAGTACAAGATCCCTTTTGTTTCAGCCAACAGGTCATCTCCAGACACGACTTGGACATCAGTTAACACATGTTAACACCACTTCCAAGCTTAACAGTAATTAGCCCTCCAAACCCCAAAAAATTGCATGACTCAACTTGAACTTGAACTCCACCCCTTTGTCCCTTCCCTTTGTCCCTTCCCACTCTCCTCTCCTCGCACGAATCCCCGCTCCTGGGAGGTCTCTCCTTCGGCGGCGTCCCCGTGCTCCGCTTCTCGATGCTCGCGGACGTGGCGGATCTGGCGCAGCTGCGCAGCGGCGGGAAGCGCGACGAAGGCAGGCGGTCAAGGGCGGTAGCTCGGTGGCCACCGGTGGAGGTGGGGTGTTCGGCACTGGGTGAGGTGCCGAATGGCACTTTGTGAGGCGATGAAGAACGTGTTTTTCGGTCCGGTTGCTATAGCGAACGAATGAGAATCGAATCATGAAAGTGTCTTGTGGCACGAGAAAATCTGATCTGTTGTGAGGATTGTAAGTCCCGAAAATCTTGCCAAGCACCCGACTGCTTATTGACTTGCGCCTGGAGATGGGACAGGCTCTTGCAGAGTTTGATTCAGATTTCATGGCAAGCCATGCATGGAACAGCATATTTCAGCCGCACTGCTGCACACACCATGCACACCATTTTGCGTGGTTTTCTTCCTGCCAGGCAAACTCGTGGCACTCTTTGTATCTTGGCTTGTAGGTTTTGAAGCGACAAGACAAGTTGTCCAACACCGCTTTCCAGAATGCTAACGTGGCCAGCTGATTTCGCAAGGAAGAAATCTATCATATCCATATCACTTGATTCGTCTAGGCATTAAATGTGACCCGCATTTGCGTGGTTTCAGTGGTTAAGCGGTTAATACATGTCTATATATTACATATGGATATGGTATTTGTTCCACTGGTTCCAAATCTTACAAGAGAGATCCAAAGAGTTACTTCACTCCGGATGTACTGCGCAAAACCGTGCCATCGGATGGTGACTCCAGCGAAGCTTCCATCGTGGACCGGCCATTGTTTCAGGACTCCAATCGGATCCACATCGTCCCTCCGTCCCCCCACCGCGCCAGGGACAAAACATCTTCACTTCTATCCTCCAACCGCAACCTCCCCCCCCTTGACCCCTTGTCATCCCTGTCATCCCCCAGTCCACCCAAGTGAGAAAGCACTTCCGCCGCTCTTCCACCCGTTCCTCAGCTCGATGCCCTGCCGCCAGTCCGCGGCGGTGAGGACATCTCCAGCAAGTTGGCCGCTTCGGCGCTGGTCGCCCTGGGCTTCGCGGTGATCGACCTCTCGGGGTACCAGGACGGCCGCCGGGGGGCGACGGGCGACCCCTGCGAGGTGAGACGGCGTTCGATGTGTGCAAGCAAGCATGGTGAGATAGACTATAGTGTGATGCTTATAAGATATAAGTATTGCAAAAAAACAAGTGGTTATACGGTTCTGGATGAGCCGTGTGATCTCTTTGGCGTGGCAAGCCCCTAATTGCATACTCTTACTGAAGAACATGTTGCCATGCAAAAACATGTTGGGAGAACACGGTGTTTTCATTGGTTTCTTCAGTTTCTCCAGGCAGGGCAGCCTGATGAGGAACAAGGCCCTGCCTCAAGAGCCTTGGTGCGACATATTTCTTCGGGAACAGACCAGGTCTCAATGTGACCCACGGAGAGGGTGTTTTTCTGCGTTCACAAGTTTGTCTCCATGGGGTTGACCCCTGAAACATCCATGGGGGCATACCTGTTTCAGTAGGTATGGAAGGGATCACGGGACTTCGGTCTTGATGATCACTAACTTCCAGTGATGGAAGACGTCTCTTCGACTGGACCCGAGACGGTGTCGATGGAAGAAGTTGGAAGACGTCGAAGACTGAAAATCCACCGGACTGAAAAACGACATGTTGCAGGACCATCAAAAGACCCATGAGATCCGAGGAAACTTGAAAAGACCAGGATTTAAACCACCCGTGGTCTGGGACTTTAATGTGAACGAGTCCAAAGCTTTGAAGGTTTGAATCGGGCAGAGTGGGCCGCCACTGGAGTCATTACAGTGGCAATCCACCATGTACAAACCGTTTATGTATTGCCCAGATTTGTGGGCCGAAGGAAAGTCCACCACTGAGGGGCTGCTGTATCCACATTCTTCACTGCATAGTACTACAAGATCGCTTGTTTCACCAAGGGACTTTTCGTGGGTGTGCCGTTGATGTCGCAACTGGGGTGACTCAAATAGCTCGTGTGAAGCGTCACGTCCACTGAGGACTGGCCATTTGTATTTTTTACGCGCTGGTCCCGGCTTTGCTGGCAATGCTCTCAGCGCTGGTGGTCTTTTGCTTGCCTTTTGGACCAGAACCCTTGGGGGATTGCTTAAGTTATGTTACTTGCAAGGTTGCTCTCCAACAACGATCCCTTTGGAGGAAAATCACTATTGAACATGCACATCTGTGTGTGATTGTTTGATTCCTTTTTACTATGATCGGGATGTGCGCAGCTAGCTTGGACCTTTTGCATTCTTGCATACGTAGCGGAATTCGTCAATCCTTCATGTCCATCACCAGGAAAATACAATAAAATAAATACCATTACCAGTCAGTGACAGTGTGTCATTACTACGAACAGTTGAAGCATGTTGAAGGCTATATTCATGGCGGTTTCGGTTGCCAAGGTCCTCATTTCTTGAAGTCTCGGACATCAAAACCGCTCTCATCCGCTCATATTCAGTCGTAGAAATTTCGTGGCGCAGCAAGATGCCAAGAAGTCGATATGTTAAATCCAACTCCTCTCTAAGACTCCCATATATAAGTCTCCAAAACCAATAATCCGGATGCTTTTCAGCTTTTTTTGCCTCCAAACACTCTCCAACCGGCCTATTTGTCCGATCTCGCAGGTATCCCCTGGACCGGCAGCAGCACACGGAGATCCTGTCGGAGCTGAGCCGCCCCACAGACGCCGACGCCGCCATCGTCGGAAAGCCGATGAAAGCGATGAACGCAGGCGGCGCGATGGAGTGAAAGGTAGGAGGAAAACAACGGTTTCATGGACCAACAGGTTGTATACGAATGGTTTTATGGCACGTGCTGGAGGTGGTGTGGTGCCGTGTGGGCCAAAGCATGTACGAATAGCCTTGAATTGCAACATCAATCAAAAAATTTTTAGGGTGCTCCAAAAAAGGGCCAGCTTACCGTACAGCCACTTGACCTCCAGCCGCAGCCAGCCATCTCGCATTCGCAGTTTTAACGGCCAGCATGGCTACCTTGTGCACCTTGAGTGGAATGTGCGGGCATTCTGCTTGACTTTGCTGCTAAGCAGCGGTCAGTTATTTCGCACGTGGCGTGGCTTTGTTGGTGGCCTATGATCCCAGGGTTTCATCATGGATTTTTTTGCAACAGGCTTCGATCAACGACGTTCTTCACAGATCTTCAATCAAACGTCAAACGCTTGGTGCCCCAGTGCATTTTGTTGGCCTGCTCTCAAGCTTGGGATTTGGTATTCTATCCCTCTAGCTGGCCCCAAATCCAAACTTTTTCAGTTTGAGAATTTTGAGAGCTCAGCGCTTTAGGGATGCACAATGATGTACATCTCAGCAAGGTATAAACCATCTTGGATGTACATTGTACATGCTGAGCTTTAGGGGTGGCATGTTGGATGTATATCCTTCAGCATGTTGGATCTTGGGCATGTCTTTCCGAGGCCGGAGGTGATTTTAGGGATACGCATCCGTGTCTTCCGCGCCTGCACGGAAGAGGCGGCAGGTGATAAGGACTCGAGACCAAGAAGTGAGTGGATCTGGAACTGTGTTTGTTGTTTTCACTTATGTTTCATCATGTGTATTGTTAGAGGCCAAAAAGAATAAAAAGAGAGAACACCACCACGATGAGCTGGAACCTTTTGAGGGATCTCAGGTCTAGTCGACATGCAATGCTCTTGTGAGCCGTGGGTGAAACAACCAGGTGCGGTGGAGGAACCTTCCACGTGGCCATGGTGGTTTCAAAAAGGGTTTCTCTTGATGACCATGGACAGTGAAGGATTTGTGTTAATCAAGAGACCACCACGTCGTGGCTGCATTTTTCCGAATAGTTTGAATAGTTTTGGGGAAAGCCATATGATGAATTGGATTGAGATGGGTGCTGAGCAGCACATCAGGGACGGCTTGACGGTGCAGTGGCAGGTTTTATGAAACAACCCCTTTGGCTTCAAGCTTTCAAGGTTTGATCATGTTTGATCCATGCCCCACATCTTGAATGATGGTATGACCGTATGACATGTCATGGGTTGCACAAGCTAACTTGAGAGCTTCGGAGGCCTGGAAGGCCAGGAAGGCATTCCTTAGAGAAACCCTTTCCCAGGACCAAGTGCTTTCGTCTGCTGCGTGTGAAGAAAAAGAGGCCGTTTCTGCACTGCCCTGCTGTGCAGGGCTGAGGATCAGATCCATGGACCGATGAAAAAGTTGAAAAAGCAAGTGTGTAATTACCCTACAAAAATAATGTTTTTCTTTGTGGGGAGGTATGGTTTATGGATGTTTATGTTGGTTTCTCCACTCAACGAAGAACCGGTGAAGCCAGAAGCCAGGGGGGGTTTGGTTCCCCTCCTCTCCCTCAACAGGTCCGTCGGACTCTTTGGGACTCCGATCCAGCAGGAGAGCCACTACGAGCGGCGCCGGCGCGAGCGACGGAAGAGACGGCACGGCCGAGGCGGGGCTGTGGAGTGGCAGGTTGCTGGGCCTATAAAGGCTGACAGCTTGTCCATGTCCATCAGGTTTTACCCCAAACGGATCCCAACGGTGAAGGCCCACTGAGATTGGTTCATGTTCTTCAACCCACTCTCCAGACCACCGTCCTGAAATCTGCTGCTGTAACAAGAGGCGGTCTTCCCTCCTGCGCTTCGTTCGTTCCGAGACGCTTCAGGCGACGAACGGGACGAGAAGCCGCACGACTCCGTCGCGGCCTTCGTCTCAGGGAACCGACGGTTGGTCCCGGGAAGCGTCGACGGAAGGTCTGGCAGCGGCGACGGAGGTGGTGAGTGGAAGAAGAGAGATCGCATCTAAGGATTTTTGTTTTTCATGTGTTTTTTCTATAATTAGAGTGGTCTAATATCATGTTTCTATAGAGTGGTACATCATGTCTATATATACGTTCAATGACGTTTTGTGATGATTTGTTCTCCACCCTGCTGGCTGAGGCTGATGAATTCTTGGGTGGTCTCCTACACGACCGCAGTCCATCACTGAGCTTTGTCGCCGGAAAGGGGGCAGCCCAAGTCACCGAAGATGTTTGGTTTTCCGCACCCAAGTGCTTCAGGCAGGCAAATAGACTATGGCCTTATACCTACCTGTACTATCCTGTACTTATGCAAAACGTAGTTGCATCGTGTATAACCCTTGCAGCTCATGTTTTGAATGGTTGATTTCTGAATTCCCCAACCACCCAACGGAAGATGTTTTGTTTGAAACTCCCATTGCAACCAAAAACTCATGGAACGGACAAGGAGCCATGTGTTGGTTGAGGTCAACAGTGCCCGCACGATGTCGGCTCTAGAGGTGTGTCCAGCCCGTGTCCTTTTGCGCGAAGCCGGTCTTCGCATGCGTTTCTTCACGCGAATTCACATCAAACAAGCTACTTGTGCGAGCTAGTGACCCAGCAGAACTGAACAGCGCGACAAGAGACATGACATCGAAACACTGAAAGTTGTTTAAAGCTTTTCCAAGAGCAACACCATCGCAGCACCATCAAATCCTTTCACACCATCACTGCGCACAACACCAAACGACTGCCCTTTTGGGGGGGGCAAAGCTTCCCCCCAATGGCCATGTGTGCCAATCATTCCTTACCCTCCACGCCCCTCGCGGCGCCCGTGGCGGGACCCGCACACCCCCCTCTGCGCCCCTGCCGCTCCCTGCCCGAAGGCCCTGCCGTCCGACCGCCGGTGCCGACCCCGGCAGAGCCCAAGACGACGCCGGCACGGGCAGCGGCGGCGGCGCCACTTCGCCTGGCGCCGGAAGAGTTGTTGCAGCACTTGGAGAGAGGGAGGAGTAGCTTGGAAGAAGTTGGCTTTCAATGTGCTGTGATGTGCATTGCAATTGTGCTGAAGGCTGCACCCCGTTTGATGTTGCAAAGGCAACGCCGCTTCATTCGAATTCTAGGTCTTTCGGACAGCGAAGTCTCGTCCATGTCGTCATGTGATTGTCTCATCGATATGTGAGGTATGGATGCCAAACATCTTCCACACAGCCCCCCAGCCGCTCCCACTCCACATCATCAAGCTCATCCCAGCCATCCACCAGGAAGCCATCCATCGAATCCACGTCCGGGGCTTCCCCATCCGAAGACGCCATTGACGCCGCAGCAGCCAGTGCCACATCCTCATGCACAGTTGCAGCATCCGCACCATCCACAACAGCAACCTCACCAACATCCTCAGCACCCTCAGCATTTGCAGCATCCACAACATCACCAGGGAAAACAACCTCCAGCCCCTCCACCGCAACAGCTGCAATCTGCGCAGGCGCATCCTGCACATCCTGCACATCCTGCACATCCTGCACATGCACAGCATCCACAGCAGCATCCACAGCAGCATCCACAAGGTCCTCAACTGCCTTTGGCCAAGCGAAATCAAGAGCCCCACGCTGAGCTGGACCATCATGATCAGGACGCGCTCTGTCGGCGCCCTAAGGGCGCTGGAAAAATGGTCCAAAAGCTGGATTCCGTTTGCCCTGGGGCATTCAATCACTACTGTGTCCCCCTGAACTAAAAACATTTGCTTGCGACGTGTTCAAGATTTTTGCAAGCAAAGATCATGCTTGAAGCATCTGATCTATTTTATAAGCACTCTGGATAAAGGTCGGCCGGCCGTGTGGCCACACTGCCTGGCATCCGCAAAAAGCTCCGGTCGCCAGGACCTGATGCAGAAGCTGCATGAGCAGCACGTGACACTTGGAATGGCTTTTTCAGCGATTCATGGGAGCCATGGGAGCCAGTTGTCACGTTCACCTCAGTTCAGTACTCAAGTTCACAAGGGTTCTGTTTCTATCCGGGATAGAAACCTATCAGGGTTTAGACTATCCCACCTATTAGGGTAGGTTTTAGGACTTCCCACCTTGTTTCGGGGGAGTTGAGAGCTGTTTCTATATAGTCATCGTGCCAAAAGAGGATTACGAGGCTCGACGCATGGCTTTGGGACACCAGGCGGAAATCTTCAAAGACGCTTCTAAGAGAGAGAGAGAGAGAGAGAGAGTCGAGGTCACGAGGTCAGCTGAAATCACAGCAGTCCACAAAAATGTTTGCTTTACTTTCGTTCCCTCATTCCGCTCCTTAGCAGTCGGGTGGATCAAGGTGGGTAATAGCGTCACCTGTTGCTGGAAGGCAGAGATCACGAATCTTTAAGTTAAGGTTTTTTTCCCAACCAAACTATTTAGAACCTATATATAGCTGACAGTATAGCTGACCTAGTATACAGGGTGACCGATAAATCCTATTAGAGCCTATGATACAACTAGTATATTCAAAGAAGAACCTAAAACCACACCGCACATGCAGACGGTCTATTTCTGAGATATTCCTGGGTACTATCGGACCCACCGGTCCAAAAAGGTAATCAAAGCGATCCACGGACAGATCCGTGTGCGAAAAAAGATTGTGAAACAAACTGCCTTGTGCCCTGGCCATCCACACCTGTTGACTTTCCATGACCGTACCGGCCCAAACTTAGTGGCCACTTGAGTCTGCCTTGGAAAAGGCTTTCCTTGCCGTGCGCCATAGGCACTGCGTTTCCGCTGTTCATCAGTGGTAGCGGAGCCCGGGTGACGACCTGGGCTCTGCTGGAGAGGTGGAAGAGCTTGCGGCGGGGGACGCCCCGCCCGACCTCTTTCGACTTCATCGACCTCATCCTTGAGGAGTTCTTCGGCACCCTCCAGCAGGGGATTGTTAGAAGCCACTGAAGTGGCGGAGCTTGACGGCCATCCTGGCCTGGTTTTCCTTTGAGCTTGATTTGAGCTTTTGTTTTGCTTTTGGTCTACGACCACCTTCACTACGCTAGCCCTACGACTTTGCTAGCCGGCGCCGGGACTTCGTTCGAACTATTTGATTGAGGGCCCAGGCGACATCTTTGCCATCAGCCTGACCTTTGTGAAGTACCAGTTCACTGGGAAGTATGTCAGCTGACAGGCTGCACCGCTTCTGGAGAGGCGGAGTTGGAGCAACTTCATCATCGACCCCATCGATGGCGGCCCCGCCGAAATCCCCGATGGCAAGTCCGCCGCGACCACCGAGGTCCCCCATGGCGAGTCCGCCACGACCTGAAGTTCATCGACTTTCTCAGGTACCTGACCCCGTCGATTCGGGACTTTATGAAGAACCTGATCCTTGGGCTGCAGCTGCCACGGCCATCCGGCCTCCGACACCGGCCGGAAGCCAATCAGGTGCTCGCGAGAAAAAGTATGTGGACTACAAAGTGGACCCCGCTCCATCCTGGGGCGGTGACATGCCAGAGAAGAACTATAAAGAGTACATCCGGAACCTTCAACTCTGGCTGGTTGAGGCAGAGGCTCGACTGCCTCACAACTTGATTGGAAAGCGGATCATCGACAGCATTCCGCTTGGCTCGAAGCTCAGCTCCCTTCTGGCCCATTTGACTGTCGATGACATCTGCTCGGACAATGGCCATAAGGTCATACTTGGCATCATCGAGGACGCCCATGAGTATTTGAAGGACTTGCGCCTCGAGACTGCCTTCGATGACGCGATCTTCAAAGGAAGACGTGAGCGAGGCCAAACGCTCACAAGCTTCTTGACCACCAAGAAGGCGGCCTTCGCCGATTTGAAGAAGCAAGGACTGGACTTGTTGGCTACCAGTCCGGGGCGGCATTTGTTGGGTCACCTCATTTTGAGGCAAGGCTCATTCACCCAGGATCAACGCCAGAGGTTGAAAGTAGTCACCAACGGCAGCATCGATTACAAGGACATCGAAATGGCCATCCAGAAGGTCTTTGGTGACAAGCTGGACGAAAGCCATGGACACCATGAAGCTGTTGGTACTCCCCGGAGGTGGCGCAGTGCTACCTACTGGGATGAAGAAATGAATGAAGAGATGTTTGATGATGAGCCAACTGCCACCTATGGCGAGATTGAGGATGACGACCCTTTCAAGGACCTCATCGCGCTCAATGATGATGGCAGTGAGGCTCAGTTCATCTTCCTCCATGAGATGCCAGTGATCATGGATGAGACGGAAGCCATTGAAATGGTCAGTGACAACCTGGAAGAGATCTTCTACGAGACCCACCAGCGCCTGCATAGCAAGGGCAAAGGAAAAGGAAAGAAGGGGAAAGGAAAAGGCAAAGGTGGCAGTTCAAGAACCTATGGCCTTGGAGCTCCTGGTTTTGGACGAGGCGGTGGTTATTTGGAGCACCGTCGAATGCTACAGGCTGCCCGGACGGGCAGAGGCTTTGACCGACCTTGGCAGATGCGCCAAGGCACTTCGAAGATGTCCCTCAATGACATCAAGGCCAAATCTCGCTGCCATCAATGCAAGCAGATTGGACACTGGTCTCGAGAGTGTCCGCAAAGGAACAAGCAAGCATCGACGGCCCCTTCATCCCGCAGTTCACATGTGAGTGGAGGCTCAACCATGTCCACTGGGTTTTTCACGTCACCACCAGCGGTGATGGCCAACTGTGGACATAAGTTTCTGACGACCAACCTGGACCCGATCTCGTGCGAATACATGTTCAGCGGTCTGTCGTTCGTTTTTCTTGGTTCGGCACCGGATCGGGGCATGGCACTCGTCGACACCGCGGCTCAGCACGGGTTGGTTGGTCATGACACCCTCCAAAGACACGATCGTCATTTGCGGGAACATTTTGGTCTCCAGGTACAATGGTCCAATGAGCATGGTGGTTCAGTTCGAGGAGTATGCGGACAGGAGGAATCAACACGGATAGCCTACATCCCCATCGGCTTGTCCGGAAAGAGTGGAGTACTACGTGTACAAGTGGTCCCAGGTGAAATACCATTCCTCCTGCCAGCATACTTCCTGACAGATCTCAAAGCTGTGATTGATATGCACCACCTGACCATCATCTACATGTCATTGGCAGTTCAGCAACGCATGTACCGCATGTCAACTGGTCATGTTGCTGTTTGCATTACTGAGTTTGGTCACGGCTTTCAAGTTCCATCCGACTTCGCTGGCACGAAGAGTCAAGCCTGGTCTCTGGAG